ACACCTGATGGTAATTGTTTTTTTTTATATTATTTCAAAGTAAAGGAAAGAAGGAAAATGTACGAGAAAAATAAATACTTTTTTAACAAATAATACCATCATACATCATCAAAAATGAAAGTGTCATATCTGCTAGAGAAATGTGTGAAATGATTATTTAAATTTTATGAAAACCACTTTTTTATAAGTTTTCCTTTACTATAAGTGCTAAAGGGTGTCCCGGCATTGTGCCACTATGTTGAATCTTATATACTATTCACAATATTTTAAATATAGTTACTATTGAGAAGGGTATTTATTTTTACCAAAAAATCTAGATTCTGTTCATCAATGCTTCACATATGAGTAAAATCTCTAAAACCCATTTTTCGGATATATTTCAAACATATAATTCTTTTCCTGGACAGATGTATGTATATCAAATGAAAGGTATTTCGCATAACTTTCTTTTGATATACATTGGCAACATGTATCCATAAATATATCAAACAAGTCATACATATATTCAAATTCCGGAAAAATCATGTTTTATTTTGCTCATAGCTCTGTTATTTATGAACCGATTTTGATGATTTTCAGTATCATATTACATCTTCTTGAAGACATGACTGATAGAATTATTGAAGATTTGTACTTGAGAACTTTAAAAATTTGATTTCAACATACAGATAGACATCGATAGCTAAAATGCAGATTTTTTTAGTTTTAATTCTGAATCATTTGAACATTATATATTTATTAAAAATGTTGATCATTGTGTGGACAGAAACTATTCAAGCCAATTTCGGATATTATACCCTGAAGTGATGCCTAAGCCAGAGATCTTTCTGGCTCCAAAACAATTGCTCATGTTATGATACCAAAAACGGATCAAACAAATTTCGAATACACTGTTCTAAAGTGGAACGTATGCTAGAGAGAGAGCGTTCGGCATTGCTCGAAAGAAATAGTTAGTCGGACGGAGCATGGTCTGAATTATAAGGTGGGGAAGGCAAAACTTGCCAACCATTTCTTTCTAATAGGCAACATATCATTTCTTTCAATACTCGCTTCGAACGAATCTATAGCATACGAATGGTTTGGCCAGATTTCAGCAGCTCATAATAAATAGAACCCAATTCGGCTGGTTAGTCGGGCTCCACGCATCTCTTACGCTTCGGGTAAATTGTCTCTCGGGTTCAATGCGAATGGATGAATCCTGCTACGTGCAGAAGTCTTAAAATTGTTGCGTTAGTAGCACTTGTTGAGTTTGAGTTGCTTGGTCTTCAAATTTTTGGGTTTCCGTGTTAAAATCACCACTTCGGAACCGCATTAATTATATCTCCCAAGTTAAAACCAACGTAATACATTCATCATAAGCTTCGTCGAGCAAATTTTTATACCCTACACCACTTTAGTGGGGAGGATATTTTGGGTTTGGACTGATGTTTGTCCGTCCGCCGTAAATTTTATAATCAAACTACTGGTCGCAATTTTGAAGAAATGTAGAACATAATCCATCTATTGTCCCAAGGACAAAGCCTATTGAAAATAGTTCAAAGCGGTCCATTATATTACCTAGCTCCCATACAACTGAACCCCATAATTATGTTTAATATACTCAAATCTAGGCCAAGAGCCGAATTTTGTAAAGATCATTCCTCTCTTGACCATAACCCTTTCTGAAAATGTGTTAAATGTCCACAATTCACTCAAAAAGGTTAATGACGAAGTGAAATTCAAAATATATACCATCCACAAAATTTTCTGAGAATTGCTTCAGAAAATAAGATTTTCATCTATAAGCTGCTTAAATATGTCGGAGACAAGGCACAATTTAACTTATATACTTCATTTTTGAAAAATAAATCACATTTTATTCTCATCACCGGTGAAGGGTATTATATAGTCGGCCATGTCCGACTACAATTTCTTACTTGTTCAAATTAAAGAAGTGAAGCAAATCCTCAGGCAGCTTAGTTGTGAATCCCGCATTCTTAATTTATATCTACACAAGGATATCAAGATGAACATAAGATTAATGGTAAACTTTTTAAAAAAATAAACTGATTTTTCATAAAAGATTTTACTAAAGAGGTTTTGGTTCTTATTAAACTTGTTTATGTTGAATTGTTCAGTCAGTTATGGATGTTAAAGTAATTTTCTTAAGGGTCGAATGTAATCCGCCATATTTATATTTAATTTATAATTTTTAAAAAAATTGTATTGATCCTAAATATTTTGAATTTAACATGATCGGTCTTTGCCCGTCTATCTGTTGAAGGCCCCTCCCCCCGGGGCATGTTTCCTTGATGAAAAACTCCATTTTGATGTATTACAATCCCGGGGTATAGAGGTGCTACCAATACCTCTAGTCTGCCGGGAACATAAACTGGTAATGATCAAATGTATCCTCGGCCTTTCCTTGGAATGCTTTGACATAGGGTCTAACCCGTAGTACCATATAATCTGTCACTACGGGTGGCCGGTTGCCCACAGGACTTAGTCCTGACCAGTCAATTGGTTGACGTTCCTTCGGAATCCACCCAAATTCGCGGGGAGAGAATGTTGGTTTAAGGACTGATATATCCAAATGTCAAATATGTCTGAATTCTCTCTCCGTCGCTGTTGCCATCTCAACAGATGTCACTGGGTGATGTGACAGAGCAACTTATGCCAGATTCCTGAACCCGTTGAGTATCTCTTACTCTTCGCGTAGTAGGGCGCCAGTATATGTAGGGGAATTTTCAGGTTGCCATTTGGTAGTTGCTTGTCATTCCGTAGATCGTTCTTTATGGTCTGAGAATGGATCTGATGTAATTGGTGAACGCTCGGGAAAGACTCCTCTGCCCTACAGGAGACTAGTACTGATTTAGTAGACCTTTTACTTCAGGGAAGTTCTCGGTGCTGTTGCCATCTTAACAGGATTCATTTGAAATAATGCAATCTTGCATGACATCATAAGGGTGGTCACCTTCCGGTATACCGTAAGATTAATTTCACCTAATGTTGGTGTTTATCGCCCCTTCTATTGACTTTAGACCAGTGATTGTTTTTTCCTTGTCGGGGTTTGCATTGGGATTGATCCCATGCTGCCTGTCATTCCGCAACGGGGCTACTATGACAAGAGATTGGATAGCTCGAGTTCTTCAGCAAAGTGCTTGTACATGGACCGGCTCAGCCATGTACAAAAAAATTGCCACCTGAGTTCTTCATAGAAGGATTCAGGGGCGCGTGGTAGACCGTCTCTAGTCTACCCAGTGGATGAAAAAGACTACCGTGAAATTAGGCCGTCGTGGCAGGTGTTCACGTTAAACTCTCAACATTAGTGTCTGTCGAAGGCACAAAAGGACATTACAGAGAGTCCTAAACTAAAGAAATTAACATTCTTTAATATTGAACCTTATTCTGAAATTGTTTTTTAAATACATCATACCTTTTGACGGTGGGTATAGGGAGTTCATCATAGCCGAATAAAACACTCTTACTTGTAAATAGCAGATGTAATAAATTCTGAAATCCTCCACCAAATATTAAATAGAAAATTCTTCAAGTGTTAATATTTAAATTTTTTATGAAAATTTAAAAAACAAGCTCGTTGGCCTTGAGTAATAAATATACAAATGGAAAATAAATATAAAAAAAGAAAGTTTCCTTTGTAACTAGTAATATCAACATTTCTTAATACTTTTCCCTTGAAGACATAGAATTCACAAAAAGAAATACAAAAATTATGTTAAAATATTCAACTATTCAAATGTTCAGCTGTTTATATGTACATTATTTATAGCTTTAAGTATATTTATGTATTTTGTGAAATCATATAAAGAATTCCCCGACAAAAACTCATTCCCTTTCATGTGATATATGTATATTTACATGTATACATTCATACATATGTATGTATATAACTGCACGTCTACTGAATCTTGTTAGTCTCTGAAGGAAGAAGGACGAACGGAGGAGTTAAAATATCAAATATGACTTTTAGCAGTATCTCGAAGGACTTGAATGTTTAATTTTGTTAGAAGACAAGAATGAATGAATAAATGAATGACTGAACGAGAACGAACGTATGAATGAATAAAAAAAAATAAAAGTGAAACTTTGTTTGCTTTTCCGTTTTTCTTGTTAGATTTTTTATACCCTACACCACTTTAGTGGGGAGGGTATATTGGATTTGTGCTGATGTTTGTAACATACAAAAATATTCGTCCTAGACCCACCTTAAAGTATACCAATCGGCTTAGAATCGTTTTCTGAGTCGATTAAGCTATGTCCGTCCGTCCGTCTGGCTGGCTGGCTGGCTGTCCATGTAAAGCTTGTGCGCAAGGTACAGGTCGCAATTTTCAAGATAATTGGATGAAATTTGGCATGTACGTTTTATTTGACCCAAGGACGAAGCCTATTGAAAATGGTTAAAATCGGTCCATTATTTCACCTAGCCCCCATAGAACAGAACCCCCCGAAAAGGGCTTCTGAGCTCATAATTATGTTAAATATACAGATATATCGATAAAATACGGCACAACTAAGTTTTATAGAAGTCTTGATGACCCTGCCAAATTTCATAAAGATCGGGCCCCATTTGACCCTAGCTCCCATACAAAGTCCCCTTCAGAAAATTACTTGAATGTCCCAAATTAAGTTATAAACACAAATATCGCGATGAAATTCAGCACAATAAAATATTATGTAAATATAAATATATTCACAAAATTTTATCGGGCTTGGTCCATATTTGCCCCTAGCCCCCATATAAAGCCTCTTTCAGAAAATTAGTTTTTTATCCATAAATTGCTTAAATGTATCGGAACAAGGGAATATTGAAAATAAATGCTTTACTATGAAAAATAAATCACATTTAATATTCATAACTGGTGTAGGGTATCATATGGTCGGCCTCGCCCGACTATACTTTCTTACTTGTTTTATTTTGTTACAATAAAATTACGTGCTGTTTGAGTTAAAGTATTATACACTTTTTTAAATAATTTTTTGCATTTTTCTTGTCATTGTAGATTGAGCAAATTCAAGCTGAGTACAAGGTTTTAGCCTTGCAATATCATCCGGATAAAAATAGTGGTGACAAGGATGCCGAAGCTAAATTTCAAAAATTAAAGGTAAGTGTAGTAATTTTGATTTTTCATTTTTTTTTCTTATAAACATTTAATATATATAAACTTAGTTATTTAAATTGTGTTTAGTAGAGCACTTAGTTACTTTTGGAATAGTTTAGCAGTCAACAAAGTTGAAATGTAATAATATTTTTTATAGTAATAAAGTTGTTAGCTTAAATAGTTTATTTTAAAGATAAATAACGATTTTTACTATTTATACCCTACACAACTTTAGTGGGGAGGGTATATTGGGTTTGTGCTGATGTTTGTAACGCACAATAATATTGGTCCTATACCCACCTTAAAGTATACCAATCGGCTTAGAATAATTTTCTAAGTCGATTTAGCTATGTCCGTAATCAAACTACAGGTCGCAATTTTGAAGATAATTCAATGAAATTTGGTACATGACCTTCTATTGTCCCAGGAACGAAGCCTATTAAAAATGGTTAAGACCGGTCCATACAACTGAACCACTGAATAAACTGAATGAACTTTTAGACCTTGTAATCAAACTACAGGTCGCAATTTTGAATATAATTCAATGAAATTTGGCACACGATCTTCTATGGAACCGGAGACGAAGCCTATTGCAAATGGTTAACATCGGTCCATTATCTCACCTAGCCCCCATACAACTGAACCCCCGAATAGGGCTAGTAAACCTTGTAATCAAACTACAGGTCGTAATTTTGAAGATAATTCAATGAAATTTGGCTCATGATCTTCTATGGTACCCGAGACGAAAATGGTTAATATCGGTCCATTATTTCACCTAGCCTCCATACAACTGAACCGGGCGAATAGGGCTTTTAAGTTCATAATTATATTTAATATACTCGTATCTCGACAAAAAGCTGCAAAACCAAGTTCTATACTAGCCTTGATGACCCTCATGAATTTTATAATTATAGGATCTCATTTGACCATAGACCCTATTCAAAGCCCTCTTCAAAATTTGACTTAAATGTCCACAATTTTATTCAACAATAAATGGCTTAAGTATATCTGAGGAAAGGTACAATTTAACTTCACTGCTTTATTATGAAAACTAAATCACATTTTTTTGTAACAGGTGTAGGGTATTATATGGTCGGCCTCGCCCGACTATAATTTCTTACTTGTTTTATTATGTTGTTATTCAAAACATATTTATTTGCCGGCTATTCGGACCACATAAAATTTACACCAGATGATTAAATTCAGTGTGAGGTACCAATATGGAGCATTGTTCATAATTTGAATTTATTCTCGGACAATTTGTTATAGAGATAAATTGTCTATGAGTTAACTAATAAGATGCAGAATAAATCAAGAGTATATAGACTTTGCCACAACCATCAGATAATGACACTTCTCATTATCCGAAGGGTGTGGCAAGGTCTTGGAATTGATTTATTGGATGGAATGATGATGGATGTACGGTATCATAATTAAATGTCATTATTAAAACTCCATTCAATGTCATGGTATGTTCAGGGCTGGCTATCTTCATACTTGATTTGACATAGTGTGTTCTCAGTGAATACGAAATTGTCTTTGGCTTATTTGATAGATCACCGAGAAAGTTTATCTTCGCGGATGTAAACGGATCTTCAACGAGGCAGCAATGATCATAGCTTTGGTACTCGAGCAAAGCTTGCTTGGTCCAGCAAAGCCTTTGCCACCTCCGTGTTCTTTTGCAAGTCACAAGGGGGTGTTGATGTTTAATCTCTAGCTCGCCTTATGGTTGAAATAGCATCACCTTGAAATAGGCCATTTGATAGGTGTTCATTTAAAGTACTCGATACTTGAACAATATTGGGTAAACACCTTACGGTCAATGTGATCTATCGGTTTCGACTTTCTATAAATGATCTGTGCAGTTCAGAAGTGTGGATTTTGATAAAGAATATAAAAATAGCCCAGCACAGCCAAAAAAGTTTGAAGATCAAGAATTGAAAGTATAACTGCTTCCCGGATAACCCGCCAAATCTAAAAATCCAAGGCGCTAAGCTTATGCTTGTACGATGTGGTGACAAATAGATTCTTTCAATCATTAACTTCTGAAGAAAGTTAATGATTAAAACAAGAACTAGTTTTATAGAAATAAAAATCCTCTTACTTAATTGTATAAGGATAGGTCCATAATTGACCCTACTCCCCATAGAAGGTGCCCTTCAGAAAATTACTTTACTTCTTATAACTTGATCAAAAAATACCTGTATTGCCATGAAATTTGACACAAACAAATTTTGTATTCATGAATCTAAATCTAATCTAATGACCCTAACACCCATGTAAGGTTCCCTCATAACAGAAATGATGATGAAATTTGACATAATCAAGTTTTATAGGTTCCAGTTGGTAGTACAATTTTTATCGATATTAGATTTATACATAAGGGCAAAATTTTGTTATACCGATATTCTAGAGTGAGTTATTAAAAATAAATCCATTTTCCGGGAGTACGCACATACATTTGTATGGGGGCTACACAAAAATTTTAACCGATTCTAATCATTTTCAATTAAGTTAATCTTTGAATGGGAAAAAAGTTATGTGATAATATTTGTTGTATAAGCTGCCATAGTTTTTGAAAAAGTTAATCAAGAATGAGAAAAAACTGTAATATTTTCATGTGTTGTTTTGGAAATTTTCGTCTCTTATTTATTTATCGATTTTGCTGATTTCAAGTAGGAAACTTTTCGAAAGCATGTCTGACAGAATTGTTGAATATTTGGATCCCAAAGATATCTGGAGGTCTTCTAAAACCTGATTTCAACAAACATATAGACGGACAGACAGACAGGCAGTCAGACGAACAGACATAGCTTAATCTTCTTTATCTATAAGGATCCAGAATATATATATATATATATATATATTTTATGGAGTAGGAAAATTATATTATAGAAATTACAAACGGAATGAGAAACTTATATATAACCTTCTCATATTTCGTCGTTAGTATTTATACCCTACACCACTATAGTGGGAAGGGTATTATACGTATATAAGTCATTCAGAATCATTTTTTGAGTCGATTAAGACATGTCCGTCCGTCTGTCCTGCTGGCTGGCTGGCTGGCTGTCCATGTAAACCTTGTGCGCAAGGTACAGGCCGCAATTTTCAAGATAATTTGATGAAATTTGGACCAAGCATGTTTTTTAGCACAGGGACGAAGCCTATTGAAAATGGTTTTAATCGGTCCATTATTTCACCTAGCACCCATACAACCGTAACTCCCGATTTGGGATTTTTATGCCATAATTACGTCAAATATACTATTATCTCTCTAAAAATTGGCACAAATAAGTTTTATATAAGTATAAATGACACTTATTTATGTCGAATTTCATCGCTATATTCGTACTTTTGAAACAGATATGCCGATTAAAGCTGTTTTTCGGGGGTCCACTTGTATGGGGGCTATCCGAAAACGTGGACCGATATTACCCACTTTCAATACAATTTTTCTAATAAATATGTTTATGCAGCATTTTGTATGGCGTAGTATACTATAAATAATTGAGTCTCAAAACCTGAAAAGCAGTAGTTCTTTAGACTACAATTTACATGATTATTTATAATTTTATAAAAATAAATGTTATGGAAGAAAATAAACGTTATGTGTGACATATAAAAACACCCACAATTTTTATAATTTCTAAACATATACGGACTTACTAACACTTTGTTCTTTAAGAAAATGTTAAGCATTTTTTTCGCCTTTCATTTAAATTATAAATATTTCTTTTAGTATTATGTTTCCACAATACAACTTTTTTTCATTTAAAAAATTATGTTTAACGTTTGCATTAGAACGGAAACATATTGTGGCAACCTAGTTTCCCCATTTAATATACTCTACCGTAAGCAGTCGTTCGTACGTTCATTTTGAAAAAACCATAAGTGTTTCCGTTTTGAGTTGCTAATATTATAATGTAGACGACTACTACAACTAACTACTATTACTATTGCTATAGTTTATGTTTAAGTAAATGTAAAATGTCATTGTTGTAGAAATTGTTATATAAACGTAGCAATTGTGTTGTTACAATCGCTTTAAAATTCATAGAGACCAAAGAGCATTACAAGCTTTGTAATAACAATTTATAATAAAAATGAAATGAATTCAAACTGAAAATAAGTAATTGGTAAAAGAGTAGAAGGGTAATGGGGCTTTTAAGGCAGTGAAGGGGAAAAACAGTTGTTTTTTCAGAAAAAATATCGATTTTATTTAACAATGGTAAATGTTTGACACCATATAACTGACATATTTTTAACCTAAGCTTGTGATGTAAACAACCCTCAGCATTATAGAAAATCGATTGATATTTTTATCTCCAGACAAAAAAAAGTCATGTTAGTTACTTGGTATTAAACTTTCATCACTAACGTTTATATTAATAATCAATTTATTTGTAGATTTCTCTTATTCCATTTACCTGTTGAACTGTAAAAATTGTCTTTCCATTCTACCGTAGCATCTATTAAATATGTATGTTTATCCTTTTTGTTATAGGTTTGTACATGTGTGTGTATCTGTTAAATTGTTTATTTACAGTTAGAGCATCATAAATATTAAAACATCATCAGTTGTTTAAGAATTCATGAAATGCACAGTAAAAATGTTTTACAACCATAATTCAACAAGTAAACATTTTTCTATGAATCATAAAATGCTGACAATTACATGTACAAAAATAATAATGGACAGATTTACATTTTTTCTTTAGAATAGTTTTGTTATGGTTGGAATTTCAAATGAAATGTTGTGAGTTAAAGTTTTTTAAGTGTATTTCTTTAACACAAAAATTCTTGTTTATTTCAACCAATTCATATTTACTATCACAACTGCATAGTTTTATTTTCAATTCAAAATGCATAATAAAAAGTTTATTTAATGTCATGTTTAGTTTTCTTGTGTTTCAAAACTATTTTGATTAGAGTATAAACAAAAATAAAAACACATTTTAAAATTAAATGGACTTTCATTTGAACAGATGTTAATAACATTG